ATTGATTGTTCCACTCATTTTTGCATCCGACCCCGTCGTCTACCGGCATGTGGCCCCCAGAAAGTTGGCCAGAAGGAAATGCGGCCCATGCAAACTGAAAAATGTTTATCAGCCTTTTCAATGGATTTGCTGAACTCTTAGCATGCGCATCAAGCACACAACAAAGCTCACCAAAGTGTGCATAACGTGAGTTAAATACTCAGTGAATGAGCAGACTACAAAGATAGACGATCCAGAGAAACACACACGCACACACCCGTCCTCCCTAAGGGGTGTCCTTGCTGTAAAACAGTGGTTCTCACCCTGTGGGTCCCCAGATATTGTTGGACTACAACTCCCATCATTCCTGAGCTCTGGCCTTGCTAGCTAGGGATGGTGGGAGTTGTAGTCCAACAACATCTGGGGACCCACAGGTTGAGAACCGCTGCTGTAAGAGAACTGCATGCAGTAAGCAAAGGAGATGGAAATGGAGGGGATGAGTAGGGAAGACTCCTTGCCTTTATTTTCCTATTGCCTCCTGAAACTAGACCTAGGCACCCGGAGCGGTTTGCACCCGGAGGGCTGGGTGGGCATCCCCCCGGGGGGGTGCCACACATGGTGAGCAGCATCCCACGGGGGCAGGGGGTGCCACATGTGGCGAGCAGTGTCCCACAGGGGGTACTGCGGCCCAGGGGGATGCCACGAGCAGTGAGTATCGGCCCAGGGGGGCGGCACGGCAATGTCACCCCCTCTCAGGGATGGCACCCGGGGCAGACTGTACCCACTGCACCCACCTTCTTCCGCCACTGGACCTAGCAGAGCCAGGTTCTTTGCACAGGAAGTTCTGGCTGCATTAAAAAGAGCCTGCGGTCCCACCTCAGTCACTTGGCTGTGCCTGCTGTTACAGTGAACACCTTTTGGCTCTTCTTTTGCTTGAGATAAGATTAGGACAGAAGCCCTTGCCTTTGAAGGTGTTCTGGCTTCAGCCGAGCCCAATATTCACAGCTTCAGTGTTCAATGGGTCAAGTGAGTGAAAACCTTCCGTCTTTTTAAAAAGTTTATCCAATTCTTCAAAACGTTAAGAAAACAAACAACGAAAACATGCCATGCCAACTAATCTTACCAGGACATTCAGCTTGGACATATATAGAAATTGCAGAGTATTCATTTCTCATATCAATATGATAATTCGCTAGCCAAGATATACCCACTCCATAGCATGGTGTGGGTCATTGGGTGCTTTATTATTTCCATTAATAAAGCTGATAAATGGCTACCATTCAGTGTCAAGCTGATCACGAGCGGTCCCTGAGTTAGCCCACCCATGGGAGGCAGCTGAAGGACTCTCCTCAGCCTTGAAAGCTGCTCCATCGCCAAACTTGCATGAACCAGCTAAAGTCAGCTTCCTGACCAGATGGAAGGGCAGTGGTTGTGGGATATTTAAAGTGCAGTCAAACCAGTGATTCATATATTGCTAGACAGGCACATGATGGGAGCTGAAGCTCAGAGTTTTCCTGTATGTTTGCAAGAGAGAACTCTGCGAAAAACACTCCCACAGTGCCCTGACATTCTCCTACCTGCCTGGGCACATCCTCTCTTTCTACTTTTCCATCTTCATCACCAAGCCAGAAATGTGAAAACATCTGCTACATCTGAGCGCTAATGCTCAGACACCATTTTAAGCCTGTCTGAACAAAGCTGCTGTGTCTGTTACTCTTTGACAAGTATTCTGAGTGAGTAAAGACCTGATGGCTTATGGGAGGCCACTGTGAGAACAGGATGCTGGACTTGATGTGCCTTTAGCTGGATCCCACAGGAATCTTATGTTCACAGAACTCACAGTATGATGCCTGGATCCAAACCCTTTCCAGTAAAATAAAAGCAGCCGCTTGTGACTTAAAGCAGTATCTTGTGACTTAAGACCTAAGTTAGAAGCAGAGGAAAACATGGGACACTTTAAACAGATTTGCCTGAATAAAAAGATTCCCTGTTTATCAAAGATGATGGCATCAATCTTATTTAATTCTTAAAGACAGTGGAGGATTTGTCTCCTTCCGTGGCCCTTTCCTCAGATCCCATAGGCTGCTGATTCATCATGAAATTTTCACTATTTATGGGCCAACGCTATGTTCTTTCCTGAAGGCTAAACATGAATGCATCCCACTGAAGTCCTTTTAATTACATTAAAATGTATGTGCATAAAACCAAAGGGGCCAGCATAATTCCTTTTAGTTCCCAGAGGCCAAGTTGCATAACATTGAGGCAGTGAAAAGTCTTTAAGTGTGGGGATTTATGCACATCAGAAGGAAGAATGAGATTAAAGACCATTTCCTCTCCTAGTCACCTACAGTTAATGAAGAATAGCCATCGGAAAGTGAAAATTCTGGGGCCACTACTGCGGCTGACTACCCAAGTATAGAAGCAACCATATATGGACTGTGTCTGTGTTCCTTCAGAATTGGGAACAGAGGCCTGAGAGTCTGTTTACATACATCACATGGATGGAATGCAGACTCAGAAGCCCAGATTGGATGAACATAAAGAAGAAAGGAGGTTGTTGCATTTAGCTGAAAGCCAATGGAGAATTGGAGGAGAACAGGATCATATCAGCATCTTACCTACTGCACCAAATTAACATTTCTGATTCTGGGAACACAATCATTGTGCTACTACACAAACTGCTATCCATTATTATCTCCGTAGATCATAGGAACATACAGTTCACTATTGTCTACACTGGCAGTGGCTCCCTGGAATATCAGACAGGGGTTCCTCCCAGCCCAACTTAGAGATGCCAGGGATATGACCTGGGGCCTTCTGCATGCAAAGCAGATTGCTCCACCACAAGGCTACAGCCCTTACCCACCGAGTCTATGATTAGTTTATGACTTGGCTATTCAAAGCTGAAAAAATGGTGGATGGAGCATGGAATTGTCCAAGCAACATGTCTACCAGGCTTGTTGTTGTTTAGTCGTTTAGTAGTGTCTGACTCTTTGTGATCCCATGGACCAGAGCACGCCGGGCACTCCTGTCTTCCACTGCCTCCCGCAGTTTGGTCAAACTCATGCTGGTAGCTTCGAGAACACTGTCCAACCATCTCGTCCTCTGTCGTCCCCTTCTCCTTGTGCCCTCAATCTTCCCCAACATCAGGGTCTTTTGTGGGAGCCATGAAGTCATGGCAAAGGCTTGTAGTGCCACCTGGTGCCTCGCTGACCTCGGTGACCTGCATGTCCGTGCCTTGCAGTGTATTAAGTGCATAACCTTATATGGAGTTGTATTTCCTCTGGGCAGAATTACCTTATATGGCGATGGGTGGGTTAAAGCCATGACCGGATGTAGGTAACGTGAGACATTGGCAAATGGCCATGCGACAGGAGAGAACAAAGGATAATAAAAGATACCGGAGAGGAGAGAAGTTCGAAAGGAGCTGCTCATACCATCCTGAAAATATTGCTGGCTCTCTGTGTCTTTTTTCAAATGCTAAACCGCCATTTGTGGCGGCTGGCTTCCGTCAGTCTTACTTGCTATTTAATCATGGCATCCTAATCTGCCTCTGGTCTCAATTTGGCATGTCCTCCCTACAGCCAGTACTCACCTTCCTGGAGTCTGGTGGTTACTGCTTTCTGATGGTTGTTCCCCACCCTTCTCCATTAGCATCAAAACAATGAGATCAGGTGCAGGGTTTGGCCATGTGGTTACTTCCTGCACCCGATCGTCTGTTACATTGTCCGTTAATATCGGAGATATTTATTTTAACGAGCTGCAAAACAGCACAAAGTTACATTTTATATATGCATCGCATAGTTCAGCCTGGTGTGTTATGCCCTCGTCCAGGATTCACTATGGCTTTGATCACTGTCATCAGCTCCGTATCAGATGAACCAAGACCAAATCTCTGGGTTTGGGGTCAGCACACAGAGGTTCCAAAATGACAGCTAAGAGATGTCAGATTTAGTACAAGAAAACGCTCCCACACCTTCATTTATCGTGGAAATGGAAATATTTTGACAGTCAGTTCTTTGGATCACTGAAACACAGTGCTTGAAGAAATTGCATCTGCCAAGTTCTCCATCTACACAAATGCAAGAGACAGAGAGACCTCTGTCCTCTTGTTAGATGCACTTATATTTATTTTTATTTGTGTATTTATTACATTTATGTCCTGTCTTGTCACTAAAATTATGGACTAGGTGGCAATGAAATATGAAATAAAATGCCAAACCATCAAATACATAAAAACAAGGCAGGGAAACATATAAATAAAATCAATGAAACTGATAAGAAACAAACAGTTAAAGTAATTGCGGCGTATTTGCAACAGCCATCAGAAGTTGCTTATGGCCAAAGGCCTGTTAGGATAAGACAACAACAATATATGGAGAGCCACAAGTTCATTCTCCCTGCTGTTGTTCTTTCTTTCTATTTCTATATTTACTGTAATTATTATTATTTTTTATTAAAGATTTTGTTGATTTACAAAAGTGTGCAATGTCTCTCTCTCTCGTGTGCCCCCCCCCCCCGCACGTAACATTTTTACAAATCATTTTCATTTGTTGAGACATTAGGAAGAAAAGGAGGAAAGAAGTGTGGGGGAGAGATGGGGGGTCAGGGGGCGATGTTTCTATTTTACTTCATATATGTGGGGTTTTGTGTCAGCATTGCTTGTGCAGGTTCTTTGCTATTCACTTGCGTTCCTTTGGTGGTGAGAGAGGTTGGGGTTGGCCTAGGGTGTGGCTGTTCATTTGTGGTTGGCTGTGGTGGTCTTTGTTTTCATGTGTGAGTGGGGTGGGTGGGTGCTTTGGATCAGGTTAGCCATATTGATTTGTATGCTGTTGGTGGATTTTGAGATGTGGAATGAAATACTTTGGGTCCCTCATATTGGACAGATCTGCAAGGATGTCATTGATTCTTGATTGGGAAGAAATACCAGTGGATTTCACAGAATCACAGTCACAGAATTGTAGATTTGGAAGGGACCACAAGGATCGTCTAGTCCAACCCCCTGCAGTACAGGAATCTTTTACCCAATATGGGACTCAAACCCACAACCACGAGATTAAGAGTCTCAAGCTCTACCAACTGAACTATCCCTCAGGGCATGACCATCATTACTTTTCACAGAATCATAGAATCTTAGATTTGGAAGGGACCTAAGGGTCATCTAGTCCAACCCCTTGCAATGCCAGAATCTCAGCTAAAGCATCCATGACAGATGGCCATCCAACCTCTGCTTAAAAACCTCCAAGGAAGGAGAGTCCACGACCTCCCAAGGGACACTGTTCCACTGTCAAACAGCTCTCACTGTCATAAAGTTTTTCCTTATGTTTAGTCAGAATTTCCTTTCTTGTAACTTGAAGCCTCAAGTCCTACCCTCCAGAGCAGGAGAAAACAAGCATGTTCCCCCTTCCATGTGACAGCCCTTGAGGTATTTGAAGATGGCTATCATATTTCAGTCTCCTCCTTTCCAAGCTAAACATAACCAGCTCCTTCAAGCGCTCCTCATAAGGCTAAGTTTCCAAACCCTCAATTGTCTTGGCTGCCCTTTTCGTCAAACTGTCCTTCAAAATCAAGGCAACATGTGTAAAGTAGGCATGAACTCATGTAAAATAAAAGCCAGAAGACACTCAGTATTTGTTCCTGAGTCATCTGTCACTTTGTAAGAGCACAACAGCCCTCCTTGTGCTTGTGTCAGGGACTCCTTGTGCGTGTGTCAGGGACTGGACATTGGAGGAGGAATGGTAGAGACCGCCTCCCCCTTCTCCTGAACCTTCCCGAGCAGGGGAGGACAGTATAGATTTACAACAGTGGTTTGCAGAGGATCTCAGTTCCGAGAGAGAAGTGGGGCAAAGCTGGGAAATAATGGGAGAAGCAGAGCAGGAACAGCTGGCAGACATGTTGTCACTATACCCCCCTTCTCCCAGAACCTGGCAAGCAATGAAAGTAGGAGAGCAGAGGGCTAAGAGACAATTGGCCCTAGGCAGCCACTGTAAGGGGGCGGAGCTGTTGACAACTGAGAAGGGAAGGGGGGAGGAGATTACCGGGAGCAACGCCATTGCCAAAGAGGCTGCATTTCTGCGCCTCTCTCTGTGAATACAGTGGTACCTCTGGTTGCAAACGGGACCCATTCCAGAGCCCCGTTCACAACATGAGCAGAATGCAACCCACATCTGCGCGTGTGCGGGTCACAATTCGCTGCTTCTGCACATGCGTGTGACGTCATTTTGTGCGTCTGCGCATGCACGAGCAACGAAACCCGGAACTAACCCTTTCTGGTACTCCCGGGTCGCCGCGGGACGCAACCTGAAAATGCGCAACCTGAAGCAAACGTAACAAGAGGTATGACTGTACTGAATAAAACACATTGGTAAGGGCATCTTGTCTTTCCATTACTGGCAGCCTGCCGTAAGGGAGGGGGATCGGATCCCCTGAAGCCTGACAGGGTGTGTGGCAGTGAGTGGCCACCAGCTGCACACGGATGAGCACCAGTGCACAGTGGCACACAGTGGCAGACAGGCATGAGCCAGTAAGGTGGCGGGCAAGCAAATGACATCGGTGGCAAGAGAGGGGCAGTTGTGAGGAGGCAAGCGGTGGCGGCGGCAGCAGATGGAGGTGGGAGGATGTTCCGATTCCTTCTTGGGAAATGTTGGAGCATATGCAAAGGAGAACGGGGACAGGCTGCAGCTTAGCCTTGCCCTCTCTGCTGTAGCTTGATGGAATGGTTGCTGTCCTGTTACAGGTGATGGAGGTGAATGCCTGGCCTCTCAAGCTTGGTGATGATGGAGGCTCTACATCTCTTCCATCGACAGGTGTGTATACACACACACACCATTGTGATCACTGCACTCTTCGCTTGTCTCTTTTCTCTGTAACATGCTAAAAAAAAAGTGGGGGATTAGAGCAGGGGTCAGCAAACTTTTTCAGCAAGGGGCCGGTCCACTGTCCTTCAGACCTTGTGGGGGGCCGGACTATATTTTAGAAAAATAAGATGAACGAATTCCTATACCCCACAAATAACCCAGAGATGCATTTTAAATAAAAGGACACATTCTACTCATGTAAAAACACCAGGCAGGCCCCATAAATAACCCAGAGGTGCATTTTAAATAAAAGGACACATTCTACTCATGTAAAAACACGTTGATTCCTGGACCATCCGCAGGCTGGATTTAGAAGGCGATTGGGCCAGATCCGGCCCCTGGGCCTTAGTTTGCCTACCCATGGATTAGGGAGATGAAGAAATCAGGCACCACATTCATGTGCAAATCCCAATGTGCTGGCATTTCCTTCCAATAGGAGTTTGGGCCTCTGAGATGGGTAAAATCATATGCAACTGCTGATCCACATTTCAAGTTGTCATTCAGGCAAAGGATTAGGGCAGTGGATTCCCCACCAGGCTGTAAACGTAGCTGGATTTGCCCACATGGGAGGAACACCGAAGAGAAAGATGCAAACGAAGGATATATCCAGAAGGCAAAGATATTTCGCCTCCACATATGACTAAAGAATAACATTAAACATGAAGCGTGCAATGATTTCTTCCAGGATTTGCAAACAGCCTCAGCGGCATTTTTCTCGAGAATTTCTGCGGCTTCATGGAGAACTCCCGAGTCAGTGTTGTAGGCCTTGCAGCCATGGGGGGGGGGGGCTCTCCTTTTTGCTTTTCAATTATTCCCCCCGTGTACATAGCTAGTTGGATTCTGTTTATCACTTTGGTACCTACTACTAATCCCCATAGGCAGAGTAAGTGGGATCTTATCTTTCAGTGTTTTATTAGACTCAGCTTTTGGTCTCCTCAAGGAATATATAATGAAATGACACCCTGCTCTGCCTATATAGATTGCTGAATTACAGGAAGACCTGCCACTGTTATGTCAATTTGACTCTGAGCTCACTTGTCCCAAAGGCACAGAGGGACAAAAAGAAAAGAAAAAATAGGTGTAATGGATCAGAAGGGAAACAGAACATACCATGGCTAAACAGCTATTCCCCTCCACAAAGACTTCAATGTGTTTTATACCTCTTTTTTGAGTAGGGATGAGACAGAGAGTTGATTTTGTTAACATTTAAAGATGAACCTACCTAATTCACACTTTTACAAAGCCACACAAGAGCTGTCACAATTCCTCCAACTTTTTTGCAATGTAATGTGTACAAAAATGTATATACTAGAGCTTGTTGTTGTTTAGTCGTTTAGTCGTGTCCGACTCTTCGTGACTCCATGGACCAGAGCACGCCAGGCACTCCTATCTTCCACTGCCTACCGCAGTTTGGTCAGACTCATGTTTGTAGCTTCGAGAACGCTGTCTAACCATCTTGTCCTCTGTCGTCCCCTTCTCCTTGTGCCCTCCATCTTTCCCAACATCAGGGTCTTTTCCAGGGAGTCTTCTCTTCTCATGAGGTGGCCAAAGTATTGGAGCCTCAGCTTCACGATCTGTCCTTCCAGTGAGCACTCAGGGCTGATTTCCTTAAGAATGGATACGTTTGATCTTCTTGCAGTCCATGGGACTCTCAAGAGTCTCCTCCAGCACCACAGTTCAAAAGCATCAATTCTTCGGCGATCAGCCTTCTAGAGGTATGTTTGTGTAAAAGTGTATATATTTAGTGAAAATAACATGCAAATCTGCATTACGTCGGGGGAAATCCCTTGCAAGAAATGTATGTCTTAGGCAAAACTGCATACAAAAATGTGAATTTTAGGAGAAGTTTGCACTAAAATCCTGGTGAACTTTTTTGATGACTCGAATGGATGAAGCTGATTAGCTAAACCCATTTCATTATGGCTTTAGACCTGGGCTTGGTACCAAAATGGTTTTGGTCACCCTGACTGATGAACTTTATGCAGGAAAGGGACAAGGGAAGAATGACCCTGTTGGATCTCCATGATTTCTCCATGGTATTTGAAACCATTTGGTTCTGTGGCTTGGGAGCTGGAGATACCATAGTGCGTCCATTCTCGCCTGAGGGACTGATACCAGAGAGTAACATCGTGAGATGTCTGCTTATCTTCAGGCCCTGGTTGAAAGCATCAAGGGGTGGAGCTTCCCTGATCTCCCATGTACCCCAAAGTGAGCTTCATGGAAGAAAACTAGGATATAAATATAACAAAGACATACATTCCTGCAACCACTGCATGTTATAGTAGCTAGAAAACGGGACAGCAAGTTTGAATGACAGCAGCCATTTTTGAGTAGTAGCACACCTTGTGGTTTTGGTCACAAGTTCACGGTCACTCTTTTTGAGGGAACTTAGCAACCAGAGCAGTGTTCATCCATATTAATCTGACGTTGTCCATTTCTTACAAGAAGGTGGTTCTCTTCCTCCGCCACCGCTGCCTCAAGGAAAAAAAGATTCCTTAGACAGAAAAACCTGTTGGAAGCCCAGACCTTTCATCTCGAGAAAGGATTACAGCCTGAACCAAACAGTTTTTTTTCCAAGGGACCCCTGACCATTAGGTCCAGTTGTGACCGTCTCTGGGGTTGTGGCGCTCATCTCGCTTTATTGGCCGAGGGAGCCGGCATACAGCTTCCGGGTCATGTGGCCAGCATGACTAAGCCTCTTCTGGCGAACCAGAGCAGCACACAGAAATGCCGTTTACCTTCCCGCTGGAGCGGTACCTATTTATCTACTTACACTTTGACGTGCTTTTGAACTGCTAGGTTGGCAGGAGCAGGGACCGAGCAACGGGAGCTCACCCTGTCACAGGGATTCAAACCGCCAACCTTCTGATCGGCAAGTCCTAGGGTCTGTGGTTTAACCCACAGCGCCACCAGCGTCCCAAACCAAACAGTAAAGCAACAATTAAATATAAAACCTCAGCATTTTTAAGAACAAAATTAAGGATATCTCACATTGACTCAGGCACCACAAAGATGGGGAACTGAAAGCTAAGGCCTTAACAGATGTGGCCCATGATCAGTAACGATAATAGGAAACGTCACAAATTGTTGCTTCTTTACAATTTACCCTCCGTGCCCCAACATTTCAGGCCCAAATCCAGATGGGAAGCAAGGAGTGACTGAGAGCAGCAAAAATGTCCCACGTTGTCAAGATCCTGTATTGCCTTATGAAGCACCTGAGTCCTAATGTACTACTAGAGGA